ACACACCACACACACACACACACACACACACACACACACACACGGACACTCACCACCTCCTCAGCCTCTAAGAAGGTGTCACACTGCTCTCACTGTCTCCAGCCCAGCTCTCTGGCAGCCCCCCACTTCTCTCCACTGTGGCTAAAGTAGATGTGATCGGCTCAGACATGCCAGGCAGAGGAGATCTGTGCTCCCACATGTCCTCTTCCAACCTACGTTTCCTTTCGAGAACCGGGTGTTCGAGTCTTGAAAGAGCATTGGCTGTCTGTTTTCACCTAAAAGAAGTCAGGAGTGTGGGGAGGGACGCAAGTTTTCTGTTCCTCCAGATCCGTGGTTCTCAACTTTCATGATGCTGGGACCCTTTAGTACAGTTACTTCCTCATGTTGTGGTGACCCCAACCATAAAGTTATTTTCAAAACTGTAATCTTGCTACTGTTATGAGTGGTAATGTAAATATCTAATATGTGGGTTATCTGATACATGACCCCTGTGAAAAGGTTACTCGACCCACAGTGGGGTCAAGACCTACAGGCTGCAAAGCACTGCTCTAAATCACCGGGTTGGTGGGTGTTGCTGTGGTCAGTCTATGCAGGGGTTGTTCTCAGGCGAGTGGGGAAGAAGAGCAGGAGAGGCGCCGTCTAAATGGCGGTCATGACGAAGTCTAGGCAGCCCACCAGGTGGAGTTTAGATGTGCGTCCAGTCAAAACTCTTTTCTTGATTGCTGAGCACGTGTGTGGATTTGGAGTCAAAATAACAGTAACTTCTGGAAGGTGCGCATGGGGCCATAGGGTGGACCTCTGGCAAATGCCATGAATTATAAGTTACCAGATTACTGGACGAGGTCCCTCAACCAACATCTTCTCTACCACACAAATCGTATCAAGGATTGCGCTCCTGAGCCAAACCCCATCTCCTCTGAGAAACCCTTCTGGCTTTCCTCAGAAGACTGATCTATTCTCCCTCTACACTGTCTGTTCACACCTCAAGCACACACTGTATTCTAAGAAGTGCCTACAATACTCGTTTTACCCACTAATCAGTGAGCTACTTAAGTGCAAGCTGAGGCCACTTTGTAGTCTTAGAACGTTACACAGTATCCAGGGTAGAGCAGAGGGATGGATGTTCAGTAACAGTGAGGGAGCAAGTGAATGGATGAACCTGGCCGGGCCACTAACTAGCTCTGTCTGCTTTAGTCACATGCCTGATTGGTCTTACCCTTTCAGATAATAGCAACAATAACAGTTTATCCCACTGGCAGGCTTATTGAGTGATGAAGAACAGACAAATTGAATCCTTAATACGCATTATAGATAACCACAGATTCCCAGGGCCAGAAGAGGGGTCTTTAGTATTGTGGTTGCAGAAATTTCAAGTCAAGGCTCTGTGTTGTCTGAGAATGTTAACTGGGTGGTCCTGTCTGCAGAGGCATCCGTTTTATAGAAGATGAACGCGAATGTCCCTAATGGAAGTGAACATGGTGAGCCCTTCCATTCCTTTCTCCCTAGTCACAGCCCAGAAATCCAAGAAGCACAGTTTGAAAGCTATAGGAAAGAACAAGTCCTTCTGCTCCTCACTCCAGAGAGAAGCTAAACACAGAGAAGGCAGTGACTTTCCCAAGGTCATCAGGCTAGATATCAAAGTGGGCTTAGAAGGAATGAACAGCATGAAAACTGTACTAGCCAGGGAGAGCATTTAAATGCAGGCAGCCCTTTAAAATCAGATGCTCAGTGTTGAACCACATATGATGCTGGTTTTTAATAAGAACTCCATGCAGAAGGCATAGCGATGTCAGGTTTTAGATGAGAAAACCGACATTCAGAAAAGTGAGCCTCTCAATGTCACATGGCCCATGCACGTAGAAGTAAACTCAGAGTAACTGTGTCCAGCACATAATCTGTGCCAGGGACATTGCAAGCATGTTACAGCACATTATACCATTTGATTTTTCAACAACTGGTGCAATCAGTGTCCCTAATTTTACAGAAAAGCAAGACACAGACGGCTTAAGGGGCTACCTAGAGTCCACAAGCCAGTCTGAGTCATGGGGGCTCTTTCTGCACCTCACAGCACCCGAGTCAGAGGCCAGAGCACTCTCTCCTGGCCTAGTGATTTCTCCAAAGCCCTTGAAACAGAAGATAGAATTTCACTTATGTTCTGAGGAGTTCCCAGACCCTGATGCTGTTCCCTCCTTCACAGACTTGGTCTGGCCAGGGCTGGTCCACAGGACTCACCTCCTTCTGGATACACCGGGTAAGAAACAAGGACACCTCCTCCAGGTTTTGGGGCTTCAGGTCATTCACGGCCAAGATATGATCTCCATGGCAGAATAAGCACCCTAGTCGAGGAGGACCTTCCCACCGAGCCACACTGCAGTGGGGATACAGCATCCAAGAGGAGAATGAGATGGAGCTTGTTGGTCCATTGTGGGGCCAGGAACGGGGTCTGTGGGATCATCTCACTGTGTGCCCCACACTGGGAGTCAGTCATCTCCTTTGGACTAACTTCCTCCCAGCCCACCCTCCCTCCCAAACTCTGCGCCACGCAAACCACCCTCGCAAGGCCCTGCCAAGTCCAGTCCCTTGGCTGGCTTGTCGTTAATCTCTCCTGTCCCAGGACTTATAATTATGCATGGTGGGAATACTTTCATTGTAGTTCTGAGTAAGATGTGCTTTTTATATTTACTTATTCATGTGGCTACCTTTTTATCTGGCTTTGTGACCCTGGGAGTACAGAACTTCCTTTTTGTCTCCTTAGTTGGTGTTTAAAAATTTATAACTCCACAGCTATAAGAAAACAGGATGTTCAATAAATGTCTGCCAGAGTGAGTACACAGCACTGCATAGTGAATATCTAGTGAGTGAATAAGCGAATGGACACATGTATAAGCTTGGTCACAAACAAGCCCACAGGCTGAGCAGGTGTTTACAAGTCTTAGGATGCTCCACCTACCATATCCGTCCCGCTGCTTCTACCAGAGCAAGATAGTTGAAGGCATCCGGGGGAGAGAGGAACACGTTTAGAGTCTCTACGTGGCTCTCATCAGGGACGTTGCTGGGACAGAAAACATTTGTATAAGTCACATCCAACAGCCAACTGTCCCTGGCTCTGAACTATCCTTTCAGAGTGTATTTCTGGCCTTCTGTTTCTGAGATGACATTTTCCAGCTAAAGCTTGTTCAAAACATGAAGAAAGAAATATGGATTTAAGGTACTGAAAGCCATCCACTGCGTCCTTCCCTGCCCTCCTGTCTGTGGTTGACAGTGAGGAAAGAGGCCGAAGTGGACTCAGTGGGTTTATAACCATCTCCATCAGGTCAATTTGCATATCTGTCTTCTGGAAATCATTCCATGTAAGAGGACATGGAAAGCAGCTAAAATTCCAACTATCTTGTCAAGTGCCATCACCCAGGGCCTACTTTCCTCTTCTCATCTGCTCAGTACCTCAGGAGGCTTCCCTACCCACATGATGCTGGGTCAGCGTGGTCCAGGTTTTATGGCCCGCAAGGCTGGCCAAGGAAAAAGTGTTAAAACAGTTGGAAAAGCCACCCCCATCCCTGGGGGACCACTCTTCCTCCAACTCTATCATTTACTGCCCAGGTCACAGCATCAATGACAGAGAGAAGCCTGTCAGATCCGAGACTGATTTGGAGATTTTGAAGAACTACTTTGAAATTTAAATATTAAGCACATTCAAGGCATCTGTCTTGCTCTTAGGGCCCACAAGGTTTTAGGAATCAGAGCTTTACTTGAGTAATATAGACAATTTCACAACAGTTAGTGAGGCGGACCCCTTTCTGTCGGCTGTGGCTTGTGCTTCTGGATCAGCAGGTGAAAGGCACAGATCACTTCCAGTGCCATGTTCTTGCCGGGGAGGCCCCTGCTCTGGAGTCTCCAGAGAACTCTGGGGTTCAGCGTGGCAACCAGCAGATGCAGAGGTTGATTCTTTGAAGAAACTGGAGTAGAAGACGTTAAACAAAGGTCTATTTAAGCACACATAGTAACAGCTTTCCACTCTGCCTGTCAAATATGAGCATCTAACAGCCATAAGAAGATGAACAAAGTCCTGAAGTGTGGTTGATATACTGTTTACCTCAATAAACTTATCTGGGGGTCAGAGAACAGAACGGCCACAATATTAAACATAGAGGTTAGGCAGTGGTAGCACACACCTTTAATCCTAACATTCCAGAGGCAGAGATCCGTCTGGATCTCTGTGAGTTCAAAGCCACACTGGCACAGCCAGGCATGGTAACAAGAGCCTTTAATCTCGTGAAGTGATGGCAGAAAGCAGAAAGGTATTTAAGGCGTGAGGACCAGGAACTAGAGACTGGTTAAGCTTTTAGGCTTTTGAGCAACAGTTCAGCTGAGATTCATTCTGGATGAGGACTCAGAGGCTTCCAGTCTGAGGAAACAGGATCAGCTGAGGAACTGGCAAGGTGAGGTACTTGTGGCTTGTTCTGTTTCTCTGATCTTCCAGCATTCACCCCAATACCTGGTCCAGGTTTGATTTTATTAATAAGAACTTTTAAGATTCCTGCTACACTGAAGTGTATCCAACCAGAACCCCGCCAGAGGCAGAGCCAAACTGAACAAGCTTTCTTTCTAAAAATGGACTTGGAATTGAAATAACCCTTTACAGGGTTGAGAGGAAACAGGGTGAGAGTGTGAGACACATAAAAACAAAAAACCAGAAGACTTCTGAAGACAGAAATGTCCCAAATGTCACACGTGGCTCTCTGTGGGTGAAGAAACCATCGCCACATTTCCTTCTCTTAAGTCACAGGTTGAGCCCCTTCACCTGAGCACCTGAAATCTAAATTCTGAGGGATAATATGATGCTGCGAGTGGACAGGTCCACACCATCAAGCTTTCTTTCATAAACAAAGTAAATTTCAAACATTTTTACATAAGATTATGATCAGGTTATATATATAAGATATGTATGAAAATATGAATCATGCATGTATTTCATGTTTAGATGAGTTCTGTTCTCCATAAGATCTCATTATGGATATGCAGATATTGCAAAAACTAAAAAAAAAAAATTCTGAAACCAGAAACACTTATAATCCTAAGCATTTCAGATAAAGGACATCCAGCCTGAATCAATCAATGTGTAGAATGGAGTTTTGGTGATGTTTTTGTAGCAATTTGGCAAAAATGAATTGGGGGCCAGAGAGACGGCTCGGGGGGCGAAGTGTTTGCCGGGTAAGCAGTGGGACCTCAGTTTGGATCTCCAGAGCCACATACAGCCGGACGCGGTAGCATACCTCTGCAACCCAGTGCTTCTGTGGCAAGATGGGATGTGGGAAATCCTAGGAAGCTCACGGGCCAGCTTGCGTGGCATGTGCAGTGGTAAACACCAGGAAACTCTGATTCAAACAAAGCAGAAGACGAAGACCAACACCCAACGTTGTCCTCTGACCTCTACATGTGCTGTATGGCTCATGTCAACACCACACACACACACACACACACACACACACACACACACACACATATATATTACATCATTCATATATATGTGTATATATATGTGTATGTATGTATGCCCTCACACACAAGTTGGCACAGTGAATTGGTGGTAATTTTTCCATTACAAATAGTTAGCGAAAAGCAGTATTTAGAGGGCAGTTGCACTCACCAGGATCTCATTGACATGTAATTGCTCTCAGATTTCTTGGAGCCTTGGTCTGGACTATTGGAGTCAGTAGAGTCAACAGAATCGTCGGGATCAGCAATGCTTTTTAGCTAAAGGCAAGAAGCACAGACGTAAGGATACAGGTCTGCCGCTGGCCAGGCCCCTCCTCACCTCACACTGCTCTGTATCTGGAATAACACATCTTCCATTGAAAGGACAGCAGTTCTTCAGAGAATATCAAACGGCCTTAACCACAGTTTCTGGTAGATTTCAAAGCTCGTTTTCCCTTCCTGGGAGCCTTTGTGTCCCATTCCAGACACACGTATTCTATCAGGAAGCTTTGGGTTTTCCTTTCTGCTTCATTCCTAGCCGTTTAATGCCATGAGGCTTCTCCCCAGGTGGTTGACTCTGAATCATGGAAGCTGATTGGGCCAAAGACTAGACACAGTGGTTGTAAGCAACCACTGACAGACACTTCCTCTCTAGTTGGCCATTGGCTTCTAATTGGAGCACTGCCTTCCAGCCAAGCCAGCCTCCTGCACAGCTGTCTCCTCACCAAAGGCTCTCTTCCAGACCTCACGTTCATGCGGTCTTCTTTGCTGGTGATGCCCTTCTCTTGCCCAGTGAAGTCCTGTTGTTACCCCACATTCCTGAATCACCTCAGCCCTCCTGACAACTTTTGTACAGTTTCATCTCCTTCCCCAGACGCCATATTCCAAAGAGTGTCTACAGCCCATCCTTTCTACACACCTGATTGATTGGTTGTCCCCAGATGCCATATTCCACAGAGTGTCTACAGCCCATCCTTTCTACACACCTGATTGATTGGTTGTCCCCAGATACCATATTCCACAGAATGTCTACAGCCTATCCTTTCTACATTGGATGGTTGTCTCAGAGAACACTAGTGTGTAATTATTCTTGGTGAAAGAAAATGTTCTATGCTTAAGAAACCATGGGCAATGCCTTGTGTTATCTACTTGGTTATGTACAGTGCAGGACTACATACCAAGGGCTCTGAGAGCTTTGCTGAGAGGTACAGCTTGTTTCAACCACTTGTAATTTAGTACTTCCATAACCAGCTTGACTGCAGCCTGCGTCTTTAAGTTGTATTGTCACCATCTAGTAGAAACCCCCAATTTTGGGGGTGATGATACTATGCCCCCATCATTCTCTCCTCCTGTCACTCCAGTCCACATTCTATGTCCATGTCTACCACAGAGGTAATGTCTTGGTCAACGTGCCTAAAAGTCATGTTTCGCCTCTTCCTGACTTAGAAGCCTATGCTGCTCACAGAATGAACTCAACTTGGAATTCAGTGCCCGTCATGGGTTGGCTCTTTTTTCTGTTAAATTTCTACTCTACCATTCACATACTCTGCACTGTGGCCTACCTGAGCGATTCCCCAGACCTGAAGCCTGCTTTGACTCAAGTGGAAAGAGAAAAATCTGCCCTGTATCTGGTGATCCTGGACCACTCTGCCTCTTTGTGTAGCATTATCTCTGGTAACTGAGACTGTGGGCTCTGAAATACAGAGGACTACGAAGCTCATCATTGTAGCCACCATGCTGAGCATAGTGCAGTGTCTAGAACTCAGAAAGGCTTCCAGTTATCAATAGGCTGCTCCATATACACCCACAGCTGATTACCCAATGACTTTCACTCTTTTTCTTTCGGTGCAGAAAAGAGAAAGACTACTAAAATCTAAATGTTATTCACCAAGTGCTCAAATGTCTTCTCCTCTGTAGGACTTTCTCTGGTCTTCAGTCTGAAAACCAGTTCCTTCCTCCCACCACTGGTACAACCCAGGTATCGTATAAGCTTATGTCTTGTGCTATGGTTGGCTCCTATTCAAGTGCCAGACCATGAGAAAGCCCCATGTCTCTGCCAGCCTTACCTTTGTGCCCTCCTGATCTCAGCCAATTGTCCCAGCAGCAGTGTGTGGCCGAGGCTTGGCAGACATGTAGAAGGAATGATGGGGGGTGGGTGGGACTTACTTCTGAAAGGATGTTTCGAGGAGTAAGATAGTAATTCTCTTCTTCCATATCTTGAGTGGGTTCTGAGTAGAAATTGTGTTCATGATGAGGATGAGCTTGCCTGAATCCTTGAAGGTTTTTTTGTATTAAATGCTGAAAAAGGAAGACACAGAAGGAATTAATGAGTTCCTTCCTTCCAATAGAATTAAACTAACACTTTCTAGAAAAACTACAACACGTTAGTTGGGTTGACAAGATCGGAGGCTGTTTCAGTATGACATGCAGAAGCCCACACAAACTGAACTTGCCTCTTCTGTTTGGGTCACCTCTAAAGGTGTGAATGCATAAGCATAGTTAATATTTGAAATTTTTCTCTACTGTGGAGAGTTACAACTCAGAACAAGAAGTTTTCTACTGTGGGTGGTGTGGTTAGGCACGGAGCTTTGTCATGATGTCCCCACCCCATCTCTTCCCAGTCATCTCTCAGCAGCTTCTGGGGAGGTAATTAGTCTGGAGTCACTGAACCTCCTCCTTCTGGCTCAGGATTCCTCTTTTGTGTTTTGCCTCGTCTGTTTCCACAGCAGTGCAATTAGGTAGTGTTGGCTACACGACAGTATGAATTATAGGCTTCAAGGTGATGTAGATGCAAGCAATTAATTATTGCCTTCCCTCCCCAGCTGACACCAGATACTAATGTAGCTGCTCTGCATAGCGTAAGAACTGTTATGAGTGCAATTTAATCACTCCAAGAACAGTGCTGGATGGCAGGGGCGTCCATAAGACCCTGAATGTTTCCTAGGAATTCCATGAAGGTAGCTCTCTCTCTCTCTCTCTCTCTCTCTCTCTCTCTCTCTCTCTCTCTCTCTCTTTCTCTCTCAAGAGAGAGCACACCATGACTAGTGATGGTTCAACTTCCAGGTTTTTTTTTTTTCTCTCATGGGGGTGTGCAAAAGCAAGACATAGTCAATGGAAACTGCATTGCAGATTTTGAACTTTAGCCTTTGTGTGGGCGACCAATAAGGGTATGCTAACTTTCTTTTAAGTCTGGTGGCAGCAGTGAGCTGGAGCTCCAGGACAGCCCTGCAATCATGGGGGAGACAGCAGGCCCTACACATGTGCTATGTTGCTAAGCTGTTATGTTCAGAAAGGCGGGTGCATTACATGCACTTTCAACTCATGCTGCTTTCCATTTATACTGAGTCTGTCAGGATATGACCCCACCGAGAAGCCCACAGCATCTATATATACTTAAGTCATGTCCATTTTTCTAGCTCAAAGCTCACTGCCATGGTATGACTGTCCCTCTCCAAAACACGTATTGAAATTTAAATGCCATTTTTACAGCAGTGGGCAGAACTTCCTGTATCCCCGAATGTCGCGTGTGAGAGGAAGGCTGAGTTCACCCCATCGCCCTCGGCCTTGCCTGCCTCCCTGCTGTCACTTGATGAGCAGCAAGAGGCCCCCACCAGATGAGAATCCTTGACACTGAGCTTCACAACTTTCAGAGCTGTGGAAACCAATCGTTGTCGTTTAGAAACTCACAGTGTACTATGGGATTCTGTTGTAGTTGCTGAGGATGGAGGATGGAGCCCGAGTATGCAGAGTCGGGAGTGACGGGTTCCCCATGTACCAGCAACATCAAAACAAAACCCAGCAAGACACATGTTGTCTTTAACTTGAGAGGGTTGAAAAAAATATTACTTGATCTCAATAAATAATGGGAAAAGGCAAAGGCTCCTCTTGGGGAAAGGGATTCACCATGGATGGAAGCCTTGTTCAAGGTCAGCCTGCCTGTCCTTGTCTCAGATCACTGGTTTTGCTCACTGAATGGCTGAGACGAGGTGTTGGTCCTGGTGGTGCTGATATGCTGAAAAAGCTTTTACAATGTTGGAGAGCTACCAGCCAGATAAAGTGGGAAGCCCCGCCTCATTGCGTGTGTGTGGTACCCACAGAGGGAAGGATGCCAGTGGTGGTGTCTCTAAGGGATGAAGTAATAGATGTGCAGGAACAAACGACCCAGCTCGTTTGTTGATAAAAGCCGAATCTACAAACAGTGAGTCCAGGAAGGTGGGGGGGCGGTGGTAGTTCTGTGGCCTTCCAGGGGCAGGCATGCTGTTTTCCTTCCTCAGACAGATTGCATGAGGAACGAAGAGGATGGACACACAGACTGAGAAGCCAGACTGATGGGATGAGTGAAGGGAAGCAGGAAGAAACCCCACCTCGCCTGAGGGCATGGACAGCACAACAGGAAATCACGGGGTCCTCGGGGACCTTTGTGCCCGTGTGTGGAAGGAGGGGAGGTTGCTGGCTAAGTTTAGGGAAGGAATCCGAGTCTGTCAAGAGCATCCAGACTGAATGAAAATCTTTAGTCAGCTAGGCAAGTGGTAAAGCCTACCTGTAGAATAAATAGGAAATGAGTAAATATGCATAAATATTAAGATGAGGAATCATTCTGTGCATGTGTGTGTGTGTGTGTGTGTGTGTGTGTGTGTG